CTATATTGTTATGTCATATGCTATTACGCCACTACTTCGAGGCCTCCTGGGTTCCATGTGGGTTTTAACGCCCTTTCATTTGCATGGCGGGCCTGGTTGGACTCAAAAACGGCTTTGAAGAGCCAGGTGTCGGGAAGCAATGAAATCAAGGCAATCACGTCGAGCCAGAAGTATGCGCCAAAAACATACCTGGGACTGCATTCCAGTTGTCACAGTGGTGACAGCTTGTGTCGCTGTGGCATGATTGGATCCAGGCCACGACTTCTTCCCGAAGCATTGCACCACAATTTCGAAAAGGAAGAGGAAGCAAGCCACAGTCATCACCACACCTTAAGTTTCACAAGGCACGGTGCTGTCAAGGGCAGACCCGGACCTGGATGGAGCCTCTTCATGTGCCGAGCTACTTGCTGCCAAGGGGCTCAGAATCTGTTGAGTTTCCACTGTGCCCAAGAGCAGATCAATATCTGGCACGAAGAGGGCAAACAGCGTTAGCGTCATGAATCCGGCGATAAAGCATTGGTTTTCAACCTCACGGGGGTAGCGGAAGCAAGCAGCTTCTTGATACTTGCAGACTGCCCATGTACAAGTGCACAACGCAGGCGGGTGGCAAGTCGGTGTATGAAATCCTTAGATTCTGCAACAGCTGCACCTGTTCTGAGCTGGGCTTGCTTGGAGCACATGGCCCACAGCTGTTATTTCAAGTAGCCTTCCTCGTCCCAAGCTCTGCCAAGTCAGCCGGCTCCTTGACTTTCCTCCTCACTAGGGAAAATCTTGGGGGTTTACGCAGGCAGGGGTACCTTTTGGGGTCCTTCTTATATGGGAATCTTACTATCTGGGGCCATTTTAGGGTGCCCTTATTTTCGTAAACCCCCACTTGTTACAGCCACGTGCATGCGGAGTAGTCGAGGCATTTTGACATTTCAAGCATCCCATAGCAAAACCTGCGAACTGCAACGTGGCCACGACTACTGTGGCAATCTCTAAAGCCTAGAGGCCTAGACTATCCTCGTGAGGACTTCATCGTATGATTCTTGACAGCAGCTGCATGTTACAACTAGTGGCAGATATCGGTTGATACTGCGCGGATACCGCACAACAGATTCTCATCGCGTCCATCCACTCTGGAGCACAACTGTTTCGGCGGTCCTGCCCTTAGGAGTGGGTGGCACTGGCTCCAGTCTGTCATCCTCAAAGCTATTGGAAGGCAAAGCCAAAGCCAAATGGCCCAACATGGTCGTGGAGAACACTTGCGCTGTGGTCCTGCATGTCCTGCATCTGACCGAACTGATTTTGCAGTACGCGGCCCAGGTGGTTCATGGCTGTCGCACTAAGCGGTGGAATGTCGACCTAGGATCAAGGCAGAGCACGCCACACCGGGATGCTGCTCGAAGCACCTACCCTATGCACACGTGGACATGAAGGGGGCACAAGCCGTCCTTCTTCTCCGAGAAACAAGGTGCCGGGGGAAAACCAAGACAAAAAATGAGACAAGCCACCTCTCCAGAGCTCCTTGTCTCCCTCTTCTGCGGCGGCGCTGATGGAAAGCGCCGAGGGTTCTCTGGCCTCCGAGGAGAACACTGAGAAGCAAAAGCAACCCGGCATGCATCCAAAGAAATGGGGGTTGGATTCCCTTACAAGAAGGACCCCAATATTAAAGTACCGCTAATATTGTAAACCCCCAAATAGACCAAAAAAAGTCACAAGGCCAAGGAGCTGGTGTGCGTCATGGGGGTGATGCCAGAGCATCGATGGAGCCGAAAGAGATCTGACTGGCCGGATCTCGGCATCAGACAATCCAGGCGAGGTGCCATAGCTGCGATCTCGACTCCTGCATTCCCACGCAAGTGCAAGTGAGCCTCCCTCTGCCGTTGAACCGAACTGTTAGGGCCCTAAACCCTAAATCCTAAAGCCTAAAGGCCTAAAGCTCCAGAGAGTGACTCCCGCCACAACGCCAGGGTCCTGATCGGAAGCGTCTGCTTTTCAGACTTGGCCGGACTACGGCTGCGGCTGGGACTTTCTGAGGGGGTACCTTGGTTCTCCAGCATGCAGCTATTGCAGCTGTTGCAGCTACTGCAGCTCTAAAAAAGCCTGCATTCGCCCACAAGAGACTGCGCTGCAGCGGCCCCACTTGATTCTTAAAAGGCGGCTTTGAATCGTGCGTGCGTTCAAGGCGATTCCCATTTCGCAGGGAAATCCTGTGTCGGTCCCGAGCACATCATCGTGAAGGGCAGAACTGTCATCGCTTTTGGGGCTTGGACCCTGCTGCTGCGAGTTGACACTGGCGATGTGCCGCTGTCGTGGTCTTACGGTGTTGTAATCACCCCGCCCAGGCTTGGCGTGAATTGGCGTGCGCCAGGATCCGCACCACGCGAGTCTTTCCATTCATGTCATTTTCACAAAACTTTCTTTCAGAAGGCCGGTAGGCTGCTTGATGCTGGTTGGCCATTGCCGGCATGCAACTCGAGACATGCAAACATCCGAAGGCTTGGCACACATCTTGACACGTGCAGACTGCAGAGGAACAGCTTGGAGCACTTCGTAAGTCCGGGCCACGAACAACGGAGAGCTTGCCATCTTCTACACTGCGTGGCAAGGGATGTGACAGCAAGGTGTCGGCCAGCTGAGTCATTCGACTGGTCGACAGCCCTGCAACTTACAAGGCCATCCCGGCACATCGGCTGACGCGGCACTTACAGGCACTGAAAAAATCTCCAAAAGACTGTGGTAGCTTGCAATCCTTCCGTGCCCATCCTTTCTTGCTGCTCTTGGCTCTGCGATCTTCGTGTGGTTGCGGCTTCCAAAGGCTCACTGGGTCCTTGCTTCGCGGTCTTCCTTAAAGCTAACTCCCAGGCCTGCTGCGGTCCCTACAGTGCTCATTTAACATGGGCCTGAGCTGAGAGGCTGCGAGAAGCCCAGCCGAAAACATAAAGAGATTGCCTCGCAAGAGCGCGGCGCGCGCAAAGACTGAGCTGAGCAAACACACCGACAGGCACTTGAATGCACTTGAGCTGCAAGAGGCAAAGTCGCACATCTTGTGCCCCATCTCCTTTTGACCCGCAGGTTTTTGGGCTGCCGCCTTGGGCAGAATGGGACACTGTACAGCCTGTGCTCCCCCAGCCATGCAAAGCCCTAAGCTCACTCAGTCCCCGAATACTACTTCAGAGCTTGCGGGTCTGCGTGAATCCCACCCATGAAGGTTCTGGCCTTCAATGCACAACGTCACAGCTTTGGATTGTGATCAGATGTCCAAGCAGGGAGGCCCGCTGCCAGCACTAGAGTGGTACGACAGGATATTAGGCCGAAAGGGCCATGAGCAGCCTAAAATTTTCAGAACGGAGAGTGCCAACAACAGGTGGATGCTGTAGAATGAAGACAGACGACATGTCACAGTTGTACACGGCTTGTGCAATCCACCAGCTCTGTCGACGAGTCAACGAAGGTTTCAAATTTCATCCTGTTGCCTACCTGCAAGTCATTGCCCCCCGAAAAACCTTCGGCTCGTCGCCGGATGCTTGCTGCACACGACTCTTCAGTTGATTGGCTCTCCAAACCTGCCCCCGAACTTCTTGAGCCCCCAACAAGGTTCAGGAGCCCTCCAGCTACACCAGAGAGCACTCCATAGCACGCCAACATCCAATCCCCGTCTAAGTATTGTAAGACGAATAGAAATAGCAAGTCATAGCAATACTAATGAATGGCAACTGTCAGTTGGTAGCTGAGACAGACTGGGCTGCGGACACTCGGGGCTTGGCCGCTGAAGGAAGCCCCTGAGAAATCAAAGCCCGGATGCTCCTCCTGCGCTTTGGGGAAGGCTTCGGGCTTAGGGTCGAGGGCTTAGGGTTGAGGGCTTAGGGTTTGGGGCTTAGGGTTTTGGGGCTTAGGGTTTCGGGCTTAGGCTTGAGGGTTTAGGGTTCAGGACGGAGAAGTGTCAACATCAGCACTTGAGAGCCATCGCCTGGAATCGTTCCAGCATCAGCTTCTTGTTGATCTCCTGCTCGGAGAACATGTCCAACTGGCCATGGCCTCCGGAAACTGCGCGGCAATCCACGTGTAGTAGATGCTCTCTCATTTTCCCGGCTTTCCCCTAAGCGTGAAAAAAAATAAGTTAAAATGAAGAAATATAAAAGGAAAAAACAAAAAGCAGGGATCGACTGTTTCGAGGAGAGAACGCCCTCGCCTTTCAGGGCCGCTGCCCAGGTCTCGCCCTGCGCGGACCCCCCAAAAAAACAATGTCGTAGGTTGCGCTTCTTCGTGGCAAGTGACGAGCGTGTCAGCCTTGTGGGCTTTCTGCAGCTGGATATGCAGCTCACCATCCTGCTTCCCGCCACAATGCCACTCAGCAGCGAAGCCGCAAATTCTTCAAAGTCGAATGCGCGACCATGCGCACGCGGCCTCGATCATCCAAAAGGAGCTGTCGGTTTCGACCTCAGACTGCCAAGTGGCATCATGCGACTTGACACGCTGGTCAGCCTCAGCCGGCGACCAAACTGAAGGGATCCTCGTTCAAGAACGGCGGGTTGCCCTTAATGCCGACACGCAGATGTCTCGGCCTTGAGTCAGCTGAAGGTAGGAGTTGGACTATGGCATGCGAATCCCACTGCACGAACCGCTCGAACAATTTTGCCTCGGCCAACCAAGCTGCGCCGCAGCATTGATCACGCAACCCGAGGGCCAAGATCGGCCAACTATGGGTATGCTATGGTACCACGGGCTGTGGGGAGCGAGCGGACCAAAAAGGCCCAACTCAGAGACCATGTCATCTTTGCATGGCACTCTTTCTTCGCAAGTAGCCTTCGGCTGAAAGGAATGCAGGATCTGCGGTTGAGCCTCAAGCTCGAGCTTTTGAGACATGCCGAAGTTCAGAAGACCTGAACAGCACGACCGCCTTCTGCTTGGTTTCGTCGCACGATACAGCGAGCATCAGCTAATGAATGCCAATAATACATAGCTTGAAAATCACCACCCCTTTCTGTTCGACTTTGGCCGTATCCTCTGCCCGCTGACCATCGTGGTCCAGAATGCTTTCTGAAACATTTTTCTGCCGCTTACCCCCGCCCCCCCCGAACGTTTAATCTCGGACTGTTACCCCCCCCCCCCCCCCCCCCCACCCGACGCATATCTATCCTTGCCGCCAAGCAGACCGCCTGATATATTTCAGCGTCACCCCAAAAAAGAATCAAGGGTTCAGGGGGTGGTAATGCTTGGCCTCCCCTGCCTGGCTGTAGAGCAAAGTGTCCTCTGCGGCACCCCAGACTGCCCCAAGGAGCGACAGAATGTTGTTGGCATCTTTGCCCTTGGCCCGGTAGCAATGACTTAAGCTTAAGCTGCACTTAAAGCGGCAAAGCACGAGTTAGTCTGGCGGCCTCAGAGTCTTGCAAGCGCCCCGAGGAATACAATAGGCGCAGCGGCAGGAACCTCAGATCTCTCACATCGCTTGGCGACTGACAACTCCAAGCCGAACAGATAAACCGCACCAACTGCTGAAGTCCAGCATTTCCGCCATGGCACGCTGCCTGGCAGAACTCATGCGGCAGGTCCAGGCGAGGTGCGAAGCAGGAGCAGCGCCAGCCTTCGTGAGTTGGGACAGGTCCCCAATGCATCCCTTTGTCAGCGGAGGCCTCTGTAGGCCCCTTCAGTAGGGTTTAGGGTTTAGGGTTCAGGGGTTCAGGGTGTAGGGTTTAGGGTTTAGGGTTTAGGGTCTAGGGACCCTATATAGGGTCTAGAGTTTAGGCTAAGGCCCACGCCATCCACCAGGAGTTCACCGCTTGCCGTGAGCGGGGCAAAGGCTCCCGGCCAACCCAAGGTGGTCACGCTGAGCAGTGGCCTCGCCCTGCCCTGCAGTGGCACGTGGCACACAGTGTGGTGGCAAGACAAACATATGTATATATATATATATATATATGCTTGTATATATATATATATATTTATATATTATTATTAGTATTATGTGTGTATATATATATATATGCTACCCCCCCCCCGAAGACCAACCCCGACAGAAAAAAAATAGGCATTTTTTGTATGTTTGTCTCCTAGGGAGATGGACTCGATATACTTGTAGGGAAGCCTCAGTGTCTAAAATCTTTTATGTGTGAGCCGTGACGAAGTAGTATACAAGAGTGAGCTGCTTGCCCTAAGAAATACCTATGTGCTTCCTATGGAAGAAAATGTAAAATAACTACCCACGTCAATGTATTTATATAGGGTAATATGTATTGGATCTCAAATGCAGATAAACGACAAGAAAGGATGTACAGATAATCGAGAAGAAAGGATGTTAATCCTCAAACCGTAAGACGAAGAAGTATTCGAGGGAATAGAATGACATGTAAAAGCATTATATGTTGGTTGGAAGAGATGTAAGCCCGGGGGCGCGAGAATACCGTGAGCAAATCTCATTTCTTGATATTCGGGGGTGGAAGTGCCTTCGTTTGTAGGGAACTTGGAAGTATTCGCGTGCATGGAGTGATGTCGAAAAATTTCAAGATTCACCACAAGCCCACCCACGCCCTCCCAACGGTTCCACTTTGTACTGATTCTTTGCATCCCAGAAGGCAAGCCCCACAAAAATGGGCATTTTCTTGGGAAAACGTGAAGAGAAGCACAATCAAACAGTGAGCCGGCGGGTTCCAAAGAAATGCCAGTGTTTGAAAGGCTTTCCTCCTATGGAATGCAAAGAAGAGGTAGAATAACTACCCACATCATGTATGCGTATGTTCTGTGTGTCTAGTAAGGATGGTAGCAGGAGTTGTTCGAGAAACTAAATACAAAACGAACCAAACAAAAAGATGCAAAACCATGGGACACGATGACCCGAACATAGGGAACTAGCCTCCCATGTTTTGTGTTTTTTGAGGGTTTAGGTTTTTGTTACTGAAAAAACTCACTCACTCAACAACGAAAACCAACAAAAACAAAAGTTTGAGACACTATGACCCGGACCTGGGGGACTAGTCTTCCATTTGTTTTTGGTTTGTTTTTCGTTTTGGGGGAGACTGTGATCTGGAGACGGAACCAAATAGGTACAGGCGATAAGCATCGTAAAACACCACAAAAAACCCACAAAAAAAATACCAGAACCAACATTTGTAAATATCTGTATTACTGCTTTTATTCTGGGGCACTAGTGTAGATATCAGCATTACTGCCTTTTGTTTTATGTGTGAGGTCGGTCTGGTGAGGGTTAACATATGTATGTCTGTATACATATATATATATATGAGCCATGGACCTTTCGGTATAATATGATCACTTGCTTTGGGTTTTACTTCAACAGTACTAACAGTTATCAAATGAGTACTTGCGTTTCATATTATACATATTGCAACTAGAGGTATGTGAGAGAGATGTTCAGAGTTCCCCAATCATTCAAGCTGAACCCTTAAACCCTAAGACCAGAACCCTGCATCCTAAACCCTTAACCCTAAACCATGAACCATTCGAGACTTTTCCGCGAGCAAAGGCGTTGCCCTAGGTCGACAGACCCATCGACCAGCACGGCATTAGGGTTTAGAGTTTAGGGAGTTTAAGGTTCAGAGTTTAGGGTTTAGGGTGTAGGGTTTAGGGTCTTATCTCCCTCTACTTGCTAGGCTTTCATTTGCCAGGCTGTAGGGTTTAGGGCCTAAGGTTTAGTATCTAGGGTTCAAGGTTTAGGGCTTAGGGTTTATCCACAACTTCGTCCCTAAACCCTAAAACCCTGTCCCTAAACCTTGAATCCTTGACTGCAATCTCTAAGGCATTAACCTTAGATCTGAAGTTCCACAACTTCGTTCCTAAACTTAAACCCCTTGTCCCTAAACCTTCTTTCTGCTTGTTTCTCTTTCTGTCATAAATACGACCACAGCGCTTCCTGTCGTCGTCATTAACTATAGCTCGGCCCAGCCACTTTATTTCAGCCGCCGTACGACCACGGAGCGCGTTCACTCTCTGTGATGGCAGCTCGTGACAAGGCAAAACATTACGCGAGCCAAGCTGCATTTCCAGATCACTACCACTCCCACGACTCAGCGCCATTGGCCCCTTAGAGCTGAACGGTCTCGCTGCGGCAATCGCTCGCTGCGGCAATCGCGAATTGCAGTTGCCATCAGGAGACCAGTCAAGAGGCTGCAAAACAAGCGCTAGCATACCATTGGCACTCTCTATCTGTGCATGTCTCTTGCTTTTGCCTTCTCTTCATTCTTTTTTATATATTACTTTGATTCACTCCTTCTCTCTCTGTCTCTAATTATATCTCTATCACTTTATCTATTTGTTTCTATCTCTTTCTGTTTCTTTTCTTGATTTCTTTGATTTTTCTTTATCTCTGTCTCTCTCTTCATGTTTATTTCTTTCTGCTTGTTTCTCTTTCTGTCATAGATACGACCACAGCGCCTAGCCTGTAAGCACCCATGATGACACCAAGCTGTTGGCATAGCTGCGCAATCTCGCTCCGAAGTTCTCGTTGATTTGCACGGCGCTGACCTCATGCTTTGCACAACTAAATTTGAGCCGAAATAGCTGCGTGTTAGGGCTTAAGGTTTAGGGTTTAGAGTTTAGGGTGTTGTAAGGTTTAGAGTTTAGGGTTTAGGGTTTAGGGTTCAGGGTCTTAGTCGGGAATTCAGGAAACAGCTATTCCACAAAACCTGTCAGGAGCTCCCTAACCCCTGTAGCTAAACCCTGAGCTCTACAGGATGATATAAGGGCCTCCGTCCCTTCTAAGAGCCTAGTAAGATCCTTCCGATGCTTCAGCAAGTGTTTATAGGGGTTATAGAGTTTACCAGGTTTGTAGAGTTCACAGGGTTTATAGGGTTTATTGGGTTAAGGGGTTTATAGAGTTCATGGAACGCACACCCTCACGTTTGAGGGTTTAGGGTTTAGGGTTTAAGGTTTAAGGTTGAGCTTTGCCCATATTGGGACCCAAGTTAAACTAAAGTTCTCAGACTTCGTCCCTAAACCTAAACCCTCGTCCCTAAACCCCAGAGTTTAGGGTTCAGGGTTTAGGGTTTAGGGCTCGTAGGGCTTCAGGCTTAGGGCCCCCCCCGCGGGCACTGGGCCCCCTGGCAGCTTGTCGCCATAGGTGCCCTGCTTGAAGTGCGGGCCCGGGATGAAGAAGCCATGGCCTCGCCAGCGCTGTTGTGGGGGAGGCCTTAAAGTTTAGGAGGGTTTAGGGTTTAAAAGCGCCTCAAACTTCAAGCTATGTCATATAGAGGCCCTAGACCCTAAACCTTAAACTAAACCCCAGCAAGACGGATTCTGCGTCCTTTGCAAAAAAGAATTCCATGAGGTTTAGGGCTTAGGGTTTAGGGTTTAGGGTTTAGGGTTTAGGGTTTGGTCAGCCGATCCCCATCTCCAGAAAGCGCAACGCTTGATATGTTTGAAGGATATGATGCTCCTAAAGGTTTAGGGTTTTGGGTTTAGGGCTTAGGGTTTAGGGCTTCCCAAGCCAGGCCATCTCAGACCTTGTCGCCCAGTCGTGGCAACGACGTGTCCAGCCAGCTGCAGCTTCGCCCCAAAGCCCATCAGGACAAAGGCCAATCCAACACGGTTTAGGGTTTAGGGTTTAGGGTTTAGG